CACGCACACACACACACACACAAACAAACAAACAAACCAACAAGCACACTCACCAGGAACCACCCGCCCCACTATATCCGCCGCAGCAGAGACAGTAAGCAAGAGAGCGGCCTGATCCTCCCCTAATCCTTTCTCTACTGCCAGAGGCGGGAGGAACACACTGGGCAGGCCAGAAGCCACGCCCCCGCACACAAAGAAGACCGTAATCACCCAGAAAGACCAGGTTCCGGCCATGTCTGGACACATGCAATGACATCTGGATGTGGACTGGTCAAGTTGACCATCAGAAACGCTGAAAGATAAGTCAGGGGTAAGGAGATTAAAAGTAAGTTCTTAGCTCCTTGGTAAGGGGCTACACGGTCAGAGAACAAAGTATAAGAACATATAGGTAAAGGGTGAACAGGGTATAGAAGCTGAGCAGGGGAATATGTGGAGACGGTCGAGAGTGTGGTGTTGTATCAGTTTCTTTTTATATATGTGTCACGACGAGGTGGAATCAGGCGCTTGGCAATTTTTGGTCATGAGGAGTTATTGGTATCACCTAAAGGCTTATTCATTTCCCGTACTTTCAATAAAAGGAATACTCCTTTATCTAAAATAGAAGTCGAGATTTGTGCGATTGAAGATGATGAGGTCGCCTGGTTTCGGTGTTAAAATTAGCGAGAAAGTGGCCAACAAAGTTCGGTAACTTCAATAGCTTGGGAGTCCTTGAAAATATACAAATTACATATTTTGTGCAAATTCGCACGAAAATGTGCTTTATATGGACATAAAGGCGTAGAGCCAAAAAAAAATTCAATTTTAAAAAATTGCCAAAATGACTGAAAATGCCTGTTTCTTCGATTTCATTATTTTGACGAGCGTCTGAGTTAACCACGAAGCCTCACTCGTCAAAATAAAGAAATCCGAGAAATAGGCATTCTTCGGCCAGTTTGATCATTTCTTTCTGAATTTTTGCTTTTTGGTTCAGCACCTCGTATGTCCATTCAAAAACACTTTTTTGCGTGGATTTTATGGGAAAACGTTGATTAAAGACACACAAAAAATGTAACTTTGCAGTTTCCAAGGACTCTTAAGCTATGGAAGCCACCAAACTGTGGCAACTATTTTCTCGCTAATTTTACTTCTGAAACGAGTCGAATCCACCTCCTTCAGTGTCACATATCTCGTATTCTATCCAAGATAAATAGATATATTTTTTATCGAAAGCAAGGCAAATGAATAACCTTTAAGATAATACCAATAACTCAAAATGCCCCAGAAGTAATGAGCGCCTGATTCCTCTAGGTCGTGACACATATTATATGTAT